TATAGTGACCAGGTAACTGAAGCCCTCTTTACAGCTATAGTGACCAGGTAACTGAAGCCCTCTTTACAGCTATAGTGACCAGGTAACTGAAGCTCTCTTTAGCGCAGTGCTACAGTGAAACTTGGGAGAGGTTACAGCCAACAATAATATAAATATTCCATGAACTGCTGAAATTGTTCACCTTATTTCCTTTCAGAGATTGAGACCGAAATCAAAAAATCAAGCAGAAGTCTCCACCTCAGGTCAGGCTTCCTTTCTCCACTTGGTTACCCCATGTTCTCACCTTTTAGTAAGTCCTTTCCAATCAGTTTGTTTTTGTGTAAAACAGTAAATGGAAGTCTGCCCTTTGGTGCCTTTCAGGGTCTAAGTCAAAGAGACAGCTGGAGGAGGCCAGAGAATCATCAGCAGGGGGTGCAGCGGCCCATGACAGAGGGGATGGTGTGAAGAACCCATCCCAGTTTGGAGGAAACCGTCTTGCGGTAACTTGTGGATCAGCTAGAGGGATTCTACATAAAGATCGCTTTGCGACAGGTGAGCATTTGTGTGTGTGTGTGTGTGTGTGTGTATGTATGTATGTGTATATGTGTATTTATATGTATGAATGTATGGTAAAACTAGGGATGCTCCTTTTGACCGTTTAACCGTTAACCGAAATAATTAATTTTGACCGAATATTACTATCAGTTAAACGGTTTAAAATGTTTTTATATATATTTATATATATTTTAATTATTAGTAGTAGTATGAAGTTTTGTGGCATCTCAGCTGAAGATCGCTTTTCACGTTCTAAATACACTGTGTTTGAATCGGCGACTGTGATTACAGGCACACAGGCTTAGCCCACTGAGCCATGAACACAGGTACGAGCTTTGCTGCTGAAAATGGAAACATTGGCGCAAAGCTTCAGCGGCAGAGACGTATCCGTGTGCTATATTGTAGCCGATCGGTGTAAACACTACCCAGACATGTGCTCTTGTTTTATTTCGGTTACAATGGGCGTATTCACATATTTCTTTATCCAATACTAATTGTCGGATTATCATGTTGTTATCATGCGAATAGCGCAATTTGCAAGTGGGAAGGCGATCAGAGCTGCTTCGAGACGCAGACGCTTAAGTCAGTCACTCTTGTTCTTTCTATTCGTATCACGAAGCTATAAAAATATATTTCGTTTCTACCTATATATATATTTGAAAAGTAGACCGTCCAAGGTTTCTGAGGGTGTTTTTTAAATGTGTAGGCCTATATGATAAAACCTTGCAGAGTTATTTAAATGGTTTGGCGAAATTTCTGTCAGATCCCGCCGGCAGGACTGCCGACCCCAGAGGAATTTAATATTCTAATCTAATCAGTTAACGGTTAATGTTCGGTTAACGAACGGCGGTTGTCGGTTGGGAAAATTAATCGAAATGAGCATCCCTAGGTAAAACCTGTTTTACTTTTTAGCTTGTGGGGACATTTGTCATGTCGGGGGCGTTTGTTAACATAAAATTAACAAACACACATACACACAGGCGCTTTTGATGCGTTTCCTTTAGTAGATATTAAATCTTTGAATTCATCATACCCCTCTAATAAAAGGTCTTGCTGGGATTGCGTGAAAAATTGTGCCCTGTTTTTTGACATTTTCTGGAAGCCAATGAGAGACTTGCCGATGAAGTTTTCTAGACTCGATATATATGGGCTTTTCAAGCAGTGTGGGCGCGCGCAATCATCTCGGATGAATGGGTCCAGCTACACACAGCTGCGTTTGAAAAACCAACTTATCCCGGATGAGTTTCACCGGCATTAACTCATCCAAGATGAGGCATCTGATCTCGAATGATTTAAGCGACGTACGAAAAATACCCCTTAGGTAGTGTTACACCAAATTTTGTGACCGTCGTAAAGTGTGACTCCAGAGGCGCTGTTTCACATGTTGCTGGGATGAACGCAAGTTAAATCCTAAATTTCCTATGGGATTAATTAAATATCTATCTTCCTGTTCACGTGCACGAGCCCTCAGCGCAGTTTACGTGCCGTAATTATTTTAACTTTTCCAAGGCAGCAGCGTTTACATACATGAATATATACTTTATCAATAGGTGTTTTTAGCTTACATGCATCCTCTTTGAAATAAATAAAAAAGCAAGCAGTCATGATAAATAGTTGCAGTTTTGCTGGTCGGATATACGCACCTCTATAATTTGCTAATGTTGAACCACCGTATTTCTACTTTTAAAACATGCTATGACTGCTGAGGTGTTCCTTTCTTCCATGATGCACCAAAACAGTAGCATGTGGCGCGCTTCCTTAATTTAATTTAATAGGCATATGGATTCGCCGATTTTATACACATTACTAACTTGTGGGCATCACAATGTGCTTCTCATGAATATTTTAGGTGCACTGCTAATCTTCTTATCTAATTGTGGATGTTTAGTTAATGTCTGTATCGTGCCAAAGAGCCAGCGTCTGTTACCTAAACCCCTCCAGTGTCATAGTTTGTTGTCAAAACAAAACTTAAATGAAACTGTTAATTTTAGGGCTGTTAAAATTAATGGGTTAACGCGGATTAATCCATCATCATGATTAATCTGATTAAAATTTTTAACGCAATTAACCCATCTGCAGTGCAAAATCCCTAAAATGTCTTTCAACCCATTTCGGGCAGTTTTGGTGCGTTCCATTTGACCTCGGAACTCGGTTTCCGAGTCGGATTCCGAGTTTTAAATCCGGAAGTGGCGACATGCGCGCTCCTGTATCTCGGCAATCCGAGAAATATCTCGGAGCAGCACAGAGGATCCCGAGTTCAGAATCCAAGATATGCTGCGCCCTTTATCAACAGAAGGGAAAGTTGTAGTTTTATACTGTTTAAGCACTACTTCTCATTTGTGGCTCATTAAATGGGTCTGCCACACTATACTGTCCAACTTATCTGTGGACGTGTTGCTACGGAGTTTTATATGTAAACAATATGTAACAATGGCAATTAACCGGGCTAGAATTGGATTTCATGATTAGTCGGATTATTTGTCGGATTTACGGTAGTTCGTGCTAATTGTAAGTGAACGCAGATAAAGACCATTTAAACTGAGGTACCTTAAATCCGACAAGTTGTCCAGCTAAGCAAAAAATCTTGCTTTTTGATATGGGTCCATGGTATTGCACTTCTGTGGCAAATGGAATGCATCCGACTCGTGTTCAAGATGTTCAGTAAACATGTTAAGTGCATATACTGTATATTCCCTTTTTTCTTGAGTCTGTTTGCTCATGCAAAATGAAATGCGATTAATATAGATTAAAAATTTATGATATTTAATCGTGGTTAATCGAAATTAATCCACAGTAACCCTGTGATTAATCTGATTTAAAAATTTTATCGTTTGACAGCACTAGTTTGATTTTCTTTAGGAAAATTAATTGTTCACATTAACCGACCAACCGGTCAAATAGTCAATAACTTAATCAATACAGAAACAGTCATTAGTGGCAGCCCTACCCCACAGTATAAACCTCAGTTTTACAGAAATCTGCAAATGCAATCAAAAAGTAAAAATGTTAAAAATCTTGCATGTTGTTTGGTTACTTGTGGATAAGGTTAGGGCTGGGTTTGGGTTAAAGCTGTCATAGATAGGATTAGGGTTATGACCACAGAAAGGAAATCCACCGGTTATGACCGGTTTCCTGGTCCCCATAAGGGAAAACTCTATTTTTTTATAATCGGTGACTGCTATGAAAAAACTAAAAATGCAAAAACTCTTGTATTTTGTTAGGTTACTTATGGTTATGGTTAGGGCAGGGTAGGGGTTAAGGTTGT